GCCCTACAGGAGGCCATACTTTTTACCCCATGCATTGTGGCAGGTTATGGTGGGTTTTAAAATTTGTGTGTGTATATTAACAGTCCTGGGTTTAGGCCTGGTAGTAGTGGTGACACCTTTAATCCCAGCACTTAGGAGGCAGAGGCAGGTGGATCTCTGTGAGTTCAGGGCCAGCCTGTTCTACAAAGTGAGTTCCAGAACAGCCAGGGCTACACAGAGACACCCTGTCTGGAAAAGTCAAAATAAAAAAAAAAGTCCTGGGTACCAAACTCAAAACAAGGCCTTCCTTGATACCGGTATGCTGGCAAATACTCTCCCACTGAGCTATACTTTTTTTCTATTTGTTTTTTTGAGACAGGGTTTCTCTGTGGCTTGGGAGCCTGTCCTGCAACTAGCTCTTGTAGACCAGCCTGGTCTTGAACTCACAGAGATCCGTCTGCCTCTGCCTCCGGAGTGCTGGGACTAAAGGTGTGCAACACCACCATCCGGCTTGAGCTATACTCTCAAAGCCTCCAGTGAGTTATTTATCAATTTGTTTCTGAAGACAGTCTGGCTCTGTAGCTGGTCTTGAATCACAATCAGAAATCACTACTCTCTCAACATGAGTGATGGAATTACAGGTGAGAGGCAACACACCTGCATCGAATGTTATTTTAAAGGACTGAAAAATTTATGTATTCATGCAATAATTAAGAAAAAGGAAAACAATTTGGAAAAACACAACTATTCTTTTCCGGTAGTTCCCAAGGGAAAGAAGCCACAAACCCACATTCACCTCCCTCCCGAGTTAAAAATTCTACAAGGCCGATTGATTCAACTATGATAATAGAGACTGGAATGTTGCAGCCTGGAGCCAAATTATCTTAGGCTATCCTTAGCCTCCTTAATAGCCATTCATGCCCCGCTCCTATGTTTAGCCTAACATCTATCCTTGTGACCATCCTTCCAGAATGTACAGGCAGAACACGAGCTTCCACCAATCCCAAAGACGAACGTCATCGTATACAAGTGAAAGCCTATAGTAGATACCTATCAATGCATCTGAAAAATGTCTTAGCACTTTTGTTACCATATAAACGTCAGAAAACCGTTATGGTGAATGTAGTTTGAATCCATGTTCTTGGGTCATGGACACTCATACTTGGCTCCAGAATAAACTATTCCCTTTGAGGTGAAATTGTTTTTTTTTTTTTTTTTTTCATCCACACTTTCAGTAAGGGCTGACACTTGAGCGTTTTAACTTTTCACTATCAATTGTTAACAAAAAACATTTTTTTAAACCACGTGAAATGGAGTCCAACTCAGTCTACCCTAGCAACTTCTCAGTGACAAATAAATGGCGACGTTATTTCCTCGGTACTTTTCCAGTTAAGTCCTTTATACCGCAATTAGGAACTCAAAGGAATTCCTCTCTCCTTTATGGAATATTACTACCTTACATATTGCCTTCCAGACAGGAATTCAAAGCCTGGCTGGTCAAGAATGTCAGCAGAGCATCCCAGACTGTCCTTTTCTATTCCCTAGTGATAGTGGGGCTTTGACACTTTATTAACCGTCAGTATGAGAACAGAAATTAAAAACACAGAGTCTACCGCGGACGGACACAGAACCACGAGCAGCGTGTGCACCCTGGAGGCCGCAGTGAGCCTGAGAGGGACAACAGGACCAGGGCGGCCGGCCTCCCTCACCGTGAGGGACGCAAGCGGCGAACAAAGGGGCTTGGGCCGGATCC